CCCAATATATGTAAACAGATTCAGATATAAATATTTCCTGAGAGCTTGTTTGCAAGATTTTGGAACGAATTAGGATCGCACCAGTTTACTGTATATTATCACCTTCATGATACAATGGTCCTGATTGAAGCGATAAAACCCAATTCATGTCTTCTCACAAGTGAAAGCCCGAAAATTAGGTGCAAATGAAAAACTAATGACTCGGGTAAAGATAAGGTAACGATGACCGCTTTAATCATTCATCATTCACAGGTCAAGAGTGATTACCTTATCCATTCTTAAATTAAACTTTGAAGATATTGCAAAACGTTTACCAGCGACCTTGCAAATATCTTCATTACCCTGGCCTTGTTTGGTAACATCTAATAATCCCAATAGACCACAAACTACAAAGGATTCTTTTTAACACAGGGAAGTATGCTCCAATAATTGGTTAATGGGGAAACAAAGAAAGCTCAAAACGGAATCTCCAGTACCAGTAATTCAACGAGAGTTCTGGTTAATTTGATAATTAGTAAGCATAGATTCAGCCTCTATTCTGAGACCAGCCGAGGAATTCATTCCATCATGCAATTGTGTCAGACCATTCAGTATTCATTGGAATGCAAAGGCAGGAAATTCAGGCTAATGGTGATGGGGTATCTGGGACTATTGAGGGCACAATACATGGGGATTATGGCACCATATATTCTGGTGAGAAGGAAACATGCAATAGTATAATATACACTATAGAGCCATTCCGTCATATGTTCTCAATTTCATTAGCTCGATCTAGGCCAATGATCTTGAGTTTCTAGAAACATAAGAGGGATCATAACATAACTCATAAGAGTGGAATTTAGGATAATAAGAGCTGAATACAACCTTAATCCCCGAGTAGGCTGCAAGCCAAGCATGATAACCATTAATTGGATGATTCTACTTAAATCATCATCTTAGTTATCTAATCCACGAAATAACCATTTAAAAAACTCAAAATAGCCTCACTTCTCAACAATATTCTTCTGGATTTCGTTCTTTAACTCGTCTATCAGCCTCAGTGTGTAATTACGAGTACTAAGCAGTAAACATGTAAGTACCTACATTTCAACTATTTACAACAACAATCTCCTAACCGGGTGCTCTAACGCAGAGTACGTGATCAAATCAACAGATATTAACAGCTTGAGTGTACAACAGTCCACCATCTCCACCAGCACTCTAATAAAGAATATTTCTATAATGTAATTGTCTCCTTACATGCTACACATCAAGCAAACTATTCTAGTACCTAGTTGAGCGTGTAGTTCGTAATATCGTTTCTTCTGCTCCGTTATACTTTTATACATTGTATTGATGATGATAGTGTATCAGTGTATGTTTCATTAGTCATTTGGCCGCTAGACTGGTAACCTTATTAAGATATCCCTACCAACAGTGATTTAGATAGAGTTGTGTATTGGCAACTAGTAGCATAGCCAGTTGGAAATCCTTGCTTCGACTATATATTAACTCTGTCTCCCTGTTCCACTGTGGTTTGAGAGAGTTGTTAGCTTAGTTGTTAGCTTAATTACCAATAACATCATATTCAACAATGAACTGCTAACTTTACAACTACTCGACTATTGGAGCTGTTTATCTAACTCAGTTAACAACCAGAGCTGGCTTAGAGCCAGTATTTAGCTGGTTGAAGTTTAAACAAACGTTGTTACCAATCACTTTTTAAGTTTGAAGAAATATTCTGTAAAACCCTCTGGTGTCGAGATTACTCCATCAGATCCCAAATTCGGATCCACTACTGTTAAGGAGACCCGCATCCAGTAGGGACTGTCAGCGGTAAGCTACAGCTCCTGCTGGTAATCGACTCGGAAAACAGTGGTGGTCCCCGTTTTTGGGTTGGAAATGATGAAAACCAGATCTAAATCAGTTGAGAACAAAAATACCGATTCTAGTAGGCTTACTTATCCAGATCAATGTACAGACCCAGAAGAAACAAATAAAACTGTCTCTCAAGCAATCAAGGATTTGAGGACACTTACCGAGACTTGTCCAATATGCGATCTTAAAGTGACTGAGTATGACGATGGCTTGCTGTGCGAAAGATGTCACTCATGGCATCATAGGACTTGCTTGAAGATCAGTAAAACAGAATACAAGAAATTGAGTGAAAGCGATGATGAATATCTATGTACAAGATGCATAAAAACAACATCAAAGGACGCTGATACTGTGGTAGAAGAGGCAAAGGAGTGCTGTTTCCCAGATCATGAAAATGTAAGTGATCCATCTCGATTGAAATTAGGACCATGGAATAGTTGGGAAGTTCTGACAAAATGTGAGGAAATATATGGTGTTATAGTTAAATGGAGAAGAAACATATTTTTGCTTCCCTCAGGGGCGGCAGGAAAAGCATTCATCGAAGAAATGACTAAAGTGGCCAACAATTTCACGTCAGGCAGTGCTATGGAATCAGTGACCATGACCCTTTTGATGATAATGCCATCACTGCTGTTGCAGAAACCCTCAAAGAGGTCCAAAGCAAAGGAACACACTGAAGTGTTGAAGAGAAGACTTGTTTTGTGGCAGGCAGGTAAGCTAGAAGAGCTGCTGCGAGAAGGACAGGAGATTCAGAGGAGATTGGGAAAGGGGAAGCATAAACATGGCCATGTTGAGAGAGTCTTCACTCGACTCATGATGAAAGGAAAAGTCAGTGCAGCAATGCGGTGGATTGGTGAAAATGCCACCGGGATTCTTGAACCTACTCCAGATGTGATTAAAGTGCTGAAAGAGAAGCATCCCAAGGCATCACCTGCATCAAAGGGAAGCTGTCTGAGTGGACCAGCGAAGAGGGTAGAGCCGGTTATCTTTGACAGTATTGACGGGGAATCGATAAGACAAGCAGCAAAGAGAGTACAGGGTGCTGCAGGGCCTTCAGGAATGGATGCGGATGCATGGATGAGACTACTGTGTTCTAAACAGTTTGGTAAGAAGTGTGAGGATCTATGTAATGCCATAGCAGGGATAGCAAGGAAACTATGTGTCCGGAATTTGGATCCATCGCTGTTGACCTCATTGACAGCATGTCGACTTGTCCCCCTGGATAAAAAGCCTGGAGTCAGGCCAGTAGGCATAGGTGAAGTCTTAAGAAGGATAATAGGGAAAACAGTAATGACCCTCCTACAGAAAGATCTGGTTGGAGCAACTGCTCCTATTCAAGTTTGTGCTGGTCTTCAGGGAGGAGTGGAAGCAGCAGTCCATGCTGCAAGGGACTGCTTTGAAGACCCTGAAACTGAAGCTATCATCTTAGTGGATGCAGAGAATGCATTCAACTTGCTGAACCGAGAGGCTGCTCTCAACAACATGAACATCGTATGTCCAGAAGTTGCTACTTACATTATGAACACCTACAGAATGCCTGCTAGACTGTTCATGGCAGGAGGAGATGAGCATCTTTTTAGTGAAGAAGGGACCACACAAGGTGATCCACCTGCCATGGGATTTTATGCCTGTGGTACAATACCATTGATTGATGCAGGAAACATTGAGAGAAAGGTGACTCAGATCTGGTATGCTGATGACTCTGCTGCTGGGGGAAAACTGGAGGAAATAAGGAAGTGGTGGGATAACCTCTGTATTAAAGGACCACTCTTTGGATACAACCCTAAATCTTCTAAAACATGGGTGATAGTCAAGCCTGAGCACGAAGAGAAGGCAAGAACCCTATTCCCAGATGTCAATGTGACAAGCATTGGTCGACGATATCTGGGCAGCTTCATTGGAACAGACCAAGGAAAAGAGGCTTTCATTGAGGAAAAAGTTCAAGAATGGTGTCGTGATCTTAAACAGTTAAGTGATATAGCATCAAGAGAACCTCAAATAGCATACAGTGCATACATGTATGGGCTTAGTAAAAGATGGAACTATGTGTGCAGAACTACCCGAGGAGTTGCAGATTGGCTCACTCCTCTAGAACAAGTAACACGTGATGAGTTTATCCCAGCTATCATTAACAGGCTGTTTAGCTGCACTGATGAACTAAGGAACATAATGGCTCTACCACCAAGATATGGAGGATTGGGTATACCAGTTATGATGGAAATGGCAGACCGAGAGTACAATTTCTCATGTAAAGCCACAAAACCCCTTAAAGAAGCTATTCTCAAGCAGATAGACAACTACACAGAGGACTGGAGACACAGTAAAGAAGTGAAAACTGAGATAACGACTGAACGAAATCTCTTCTATCGACAAAAACAAGCAGAAATATGCCAGGAGCTTGAGTCAACACCACTGGCAAAGTTGATGTTCCAACTAGCGGCTGAGAAAGGGGCAAGTGCTTGGTTAACAGCACTACCTTTAAAAGAGTATGGATATCTGATGAATAAACAACAGTTCTCAGATGCAATAGCTCTCAGATACAACCTGAACTTAAAGGACTGCCCTAAGACATGTACGTGTGGCCAGAAATACTCAGCAAACCATGCGCTCATCTGCAAGCTTGGTGGATATGTGTCACTGCGGCACAACTCGCTGAGAGACACCTTTGCAGAACTAATGAGAACTGTGAAATGCAAGGATGTGCAGACTGAGCCAGTTCTTCTACCAGTTGATGGTCTAGAATTACCAAAGGGAACAGTCCTAGGAGACCAAGCCAGGCTGGACATTTCTGCAAGATCGATTTGGAATGCTTCAGAGAGGGCATTTTTTGATGTAAGGGTATTTCATGCCCCAGCCCCCTCCAATGCAAGCAAATCGATACCAGCAATGTACCTGTCCCATGAAAATGAGAAAAAGCGATGTTACAATGCAAGGGTTCTTGAAGTGGAGAAAGGAAGCTTCACACCTTTAGTGTTCTCGACTTCTGGTGGAATGGGTGGTGAAGCTGAGAGACTGGTCAAGAAACTGGCCAGTAAGATGGAGTACCACACTGGCCAGAGGTACTCAGACGCTGTAGGATACATCAGAAAGCGCCTTCGCTTTGAAATCCTTAGAACAACAGTGATATCTCTCCGTGGAGACAGAGGTGCGAGAAAAAACATTGTTGATATAAACAGTCTAGATCTTAACTTGGAGCCACAAGGCCAAGGGTAATTTTTGATTGTTAAGGGAATTTTTTGAATTCTTAAAGGGTTGATTTTATATAGGGTCATTGCTATATTATGTGTATATTGTTTGAATAATTTTATATATATTTTTATTTAGCTGGTTCTACACCGGGACTTGTTCATTCTAGAAACTAGGCCGGCATTCGTGACATTCTTGTGCTAATTTTCATACGATCTTCATTCCTCTAAGTTATAGCACCAATGGTGCTGCACCATAATATATAATATCATAACTAATGGATAAGAGTAAAACACCAGCCCAGGTTGAAATACCCCACTGTTCACTTCTCAAACTACCAGCCTAACCTCCATTTTCCTCCTGTTCACCAGATTGCTAACCATTTACCATGTGTCCTAGGAACGCAGTTCTAAATCAGCATAGACGGGACAGAATGGCTTCCAGAAAACAAATCCTAGTGGGGTTCTTCATGGTCCTGACCCTGACCCTCATGCTCTTCTTCATGACCAGCGACTACAGCTTCGCACTCTCATTCCGAGCTAACTCCCACCCGCTTCAGATAAAGGACGAGGAGAGCTTGGTGAAAGGGAACCCAAAGTTCTTTGGTGGTGAGGATGTAGAGGTAGTGGTGTATGAGGGGAAGGAGGGGGAGGTGGTTCCTGAGGGACTCATACCGACTGATAGCACGCATTCTACAGTAGTGATTATCAATACTGGAGAGGAGAAAACGATGGAGGAGATTGCTGATGAGATGAGGAACGGAGGAGACTGGATGGTCGGGGAGGCGGACAGAGGTAACGAAATTGAGTATCCAAAGGTGGAAATAAATCACGGTGTTGAAGTGAACCCTGCAGAGCCTACTGAGGGCACCACCCCATCCCCAGAGCCTACTACTACGGTGAAGAGTACAACAACAGAGAACACCACCACTGAAGTTACCACCACAACTACCACACCCACCCCCACAACAACACCAGAACCAGCTACTACTTCTAGTTCCCCTATTATGAAGGAAGACAAGAAGGGTGTCAAGATGAATTGGAAGAGAGATGTTGGTAATATGGTCACCACAGAGACGGACCCCCAGTCCGTCAGCTCCACAGGTGCTCCTTCCTTCTCATTACCTTCTTCAGAACCAACTACAGAGTCAGTATCACAGCAACATGATCTTCAGACCAAATCAACAGTAAAGTTACCATCATTATCATCAGAGTCAGTACCAGTGGTCACACAAGATTTCACTGACAGTAACACTGAAACAGCTGACAAATCTGCAGCTTCCCAGACTGTGACCCAAACGGGTCCCATGGTCACAGATTTTGGCACGTCGACAGAACAAGGGGTGGACAACCATAGCATAACCGGGACCCCTAAAACTGTCAGTTTCAATCAGAGCAGTAGTCCAATGAACAATACAAATCATAACAGCAGTGATGCTGCTTCTACAGTAGACTCTAATTATCAGATTCATAATCAAGACAGTCTCCAAGGTGAGGGACCAGTTGTTATTGAAAACAATGATTTACCAGAAGAATATCTGTCAGATGAGTGGGACGACAGTGGTGAGAACTCATTTGTTTGAATGAACTGTAAAGATGATTAAATTATTGGGAAAATGTTAGCTATGATTTTTAGAGTAAACTTAGTGCTATGTTCAGACTTCAGTATGACGAAAGAATCGAGAAGAATTATCTCGTGAGTTTATGAAAGAAGCTTTTCTGTAGATATTGTCAAAAACACATTTTTAGACCGTAGATTGTACATAGATAGGCAATTTGACTAAGGACTTTGCATAAGTAGACTCAATTATGTGGCCCCGTAGAAATCAAGCTTTTCTCTTCTTCTTATGCATAGAATACATCATCTTGGTAAGCAACAATCAGATATAATTGAGGAATCCTTGAGTCTACACGTACCTTGTAAGTAGATGTAATCAATAATAAACTTGGTGCCATATCAGGTGTTAAGTTATGCATTAGATTAATGATATTCATTAGTTATATACCCTCACAATAGGTACATAATAAAGTACATAATAATCTACACAGGCAGTTGAAATATGTTAAATTTAGTTCGAAGATATGTAAAATATTTGGTAGAAAAGTACCACTTAAAACAAGTCTACGCTCATTTAATTCATAAAAAAGAGGCCCCATTCCAGAACCTTTGGAAGCACAAAACTATGGAACTACATTACACGAAATAACCTCAGAAATTAGCTGTATCTTTCTGTATAAAACGTTTCTCCCAGCAGTATTCGTGAATCCTTAGTCGCCACACTAACTTAAGTAGTTACACTTATGATTCATACAGGTATTTGGATGAAGTCACGTCTATTCTAACCTTCACTTTTCACGGATTTGCGCAAAATTCACTTGTAATATACTCCCATGAGTGTAGTTTACAGATTTCTCGTTTTGATTTTGTTTTGTTAAGAACTGTTATAAGTTATTGTGTTTTCATTCGTTACCATTCCGTAACAACAAGTTACAAATGGTGATCCAGTTAAAGGGCACGGCTTCAACCACCACCATCACGCATGCTCAACTTTTTAAAGCTAAGATATGCAGATTAGATCATCAAACGCAATCACAAGCACAAAGTTTAAAGATAAGAAGCGATCCTGCGAAAAAGCTCTCAAATGCATTGTTCGGGCTCTCCGATGGATATTGTGCAAAACAATAACAGATTAGTGTTAAACTTGGCGAGTTTTAAAGAGTTTATTAGATCACACTGTCCCTGTTATAACAGAGATCTTAACGCCGTCACATAATATGTGATTATGATGAAATTGGTTACTAACATTCTATGTATACGTAATGTACGTAGCTACAGCATTCTTTGCGTTGATAAGTAACACTTATATACAGAACCAGTTATATTAAAGTCTTAGACTTACAGTGGCAGTACTATTTCCCATCCTTTATTATCGCTGACAGTAAACAAGTTGCTTCATCATGAACATGGCAACTTGACAACCGTGCCACAATAAGATTGGCTATCACGGGTTGCATTGAATGCAGACAAACCACACTTTCGCAATTCGCATGACTAAAGCTAGATTGATCATGAGACAGAATGGTCCGAGAGCTTCAGCTCGTGCTTGCGAATAGGAAGCTGGTTGTCTCCGAGGAAATCACGAGGGAAATGATTGTGAAAAAAGCTGAGTTTTTGAGGAAAAAAGCAGTTAACATGTTGTGTTTTAGACTCGAGATAACGTGATAAAAGTTCACGTTTAAGAATAGAATTGATAATCCTCACGAATATTTTATGAGTCGGTAGGGGCTGTGGAACAAAGTCGGACAAATGCAGTCGAACAATCAAATCTCACACGCAATCAAATGAACGCACTGGTTTTGACAGTGAAAAACTAACGAAAACGCTCGATCTTACCACTTACACGCGCGTGTAACCCCTTGGCGCCAAATTTAAGTCATTTATTTAATCTGCGTGTGACAATAGTTCCATTGTGGTGGTGCTCTTTTCATGATTAAAGCACTGTTTTCTGCACTTTCGTTTGAACCGCCCTTCTTTTGAGCTGTTCTCAGGCCCGCTGAAATCATCATATTTCAAAGAAGAAAGTAGCGATTTCGAAAATTCCTTTCGGCTTTTTGTTTCACGATGGTGTAATCTGACATTTAAAAGTTCTCCTCCACTTATCATCATGCTCTCACTACTCCAGTCCTCCGTCTCTTCCCAGAGCCCCACTCTCTCGGAGGTATGTCAAATATTTACACCCATCATTTATCTGCAGGTTATGCATGACAACTTCCCGCCATACAGCTGTGCTCCGTTAATAGAAGCTTACATCATCTACGTCATGTATTAAAGGATATGTCGACCTGTCTCTCTGCTTCATTCACCAAGTAGCCATACGCCAGAACACTACTTAACATTGCTCCCACGTGACCAGTCTAAGAACCAATCAGAGCACAGAATTGTAACCACGTGACCTCACCACCAACCAATCAGGAGCCGCTAGAACACAACATGCTCACCACGTGACACAAACTGACCAATAAGAACACCGCATTCAGACCACGTGACATATGATAGCCCTGATCCTGGAGACAAATTACATTACTTATTATCAGCTGGCGGGGCTGAAGGGTTTCGGAACCTATTTCAGACCCGAAGTCGTCAACCAACCTCAAGCTCCATCAGCGAGCTGTGAAGTGGTTTTATTGTTCTGAATCAGCTCGGTCCACGATGCCCTCCCTCGATTAGCCAATTGCCGTCACCAGATTATAATACTGCGTTCTGATTGGATATCGTGAATCTCGCTGAGCCTAGCAGTCTGAATCTAAGGTTCACTCGATTACGGAGTGGTTTTAATTCATAAAACAGACCTGGCCGGACCTCGGTAAACCCATTAAAGTGGAGACAAATGTACTGCTAAAATGGGTTCATATCGTGTATCATTACAGAGTGCAGGATTATAATTCCTATATATTGTATTATTATTGGGAAATTATAATACCCTCGGTAATACATCACCCAAAAGCTGAAGTCTGTACTAATCGATATCATTAAACTGTACGTCCAGGTTTATTAAACCTGCAAATTGAGGGGGTGTTTGACGGGGTGTATGCAGGGTATGAGGTTTGGTGCCAGGCATGAAGTATGAACTAGACTGATATGTCACGTCCTGAGCTTAGAGTCCGGTAACAGTTAGTGCCGTAACAGTTAGTTCCTTGCAATTTCATAGAATGTTTTGGCATTTGAAAGGTTTATCAGACTATGTCAGTCATGTTTCAATGGTATCCAAATATTTTGTAATTCGATCTTTGGCGAAGGAAACAATGGAGGAATATTGGACATTGGTGCTATATCTAGGGTACATTTCTAGAATTTTATGGCCTGCACAGTAATTACTACTCAACGTATGACCGAATATCTTGCCGTTCTATTCCTGGGAACGTATTTGACATTTTCATGGATTCACATTGCACTTTGAATACCTAGCAACATTGGCCATGACACTGATGTCATGTTCCCTACTTTTTTCAGTCCAACTCAAACAAACCCTCACGTTTCTTCCGTGTCTCTGTCGTCCGCCACGCACGAAGTCATCACGAACCGGGATCCGGGATAAGAGTCCGGCCGGAGAAACCCCCCAACTCCAGCCTCCCCAACTTTAGCATCTCCCTGTACCTGACCGTCCAATTAGGTGTCTCAGTTCGGTGGAACAACACAATACCTTGTTTTCATCACGATATAATATTATGCGGAATATAATATATGTATCGTACCACGTGTCATCCCGCTACCCTCTCTACTTTACTAATTTACACGTGCATTTTTCTGACTTCCACGTGCAACAAATCAAATGACACGTGCTGCATTATTACATATCTGTGTACTGTTTGACTCTGATTGATGATGTAACGGTTAATGAGAAAGGCAGTGATTTTGCGGCATTCATTATCAGACCTGATAACTTATCGGCTGTTAAATTGGCGGGTATTTAATATTTACCCTCGGATTTGACACCGCAGTAGGACTGTGTGCTACAAGGGTGTCTAGTAGGGTACTGCGGTAACACGTTATAATCTAGACGGGGGACAGGAGGGGGTTCAGACATTCTGTCTGGTTACCGGTTAGAGTAACTTCAGCCGGGAGACTTGTGGTTAGTGGCTTTAGAAAAGCGGAATTGGTGGCATGCAATTATTCAGCTAGTGGTATTCTGCAACTCTGCTGAGTAGAAGAGATTATTCACTGCCAAGCATCAGATGATTCTGCTGGCAAGAAACATTCATAGTAGTTTATTTTCTTATCGGTTTATTGGTTTTCTTGGCAACACTAAAAATTACGTAATGAACAGGTCACGTCATTATTGGAAATTGCTAGAATTGTGTCCCGGAAATTTGGCGGGCCCTTTACCCTAGGGACGTGATCAAATGCATTTCAAGTGACTCTAATGAAAACTTGGCGGGCCCTTTATTCTAGGAAAACGTTAAAGTAAATTTGAACCTGAAATTTTTCGGGTTCAAAGGGAGGCGATTCAGTAATTTGAACCTGCTGTGAACTATGAGAATCGGTGAGGAAGAAGGAACTAAAATCCCAAAATACCATTCAGTAAAAACTTTGGAAAGGAATTTGATCAGAAATTTTGTTTCCTGTAGTGAAATTAACCTACTGATATAAAATCAGTGCAATTTAGGCGTGTTTATAACAGCAAGTACTCAACTGGAGGTTTCAGCTTTGTGCTATAATGAGAGCAGAAACTCCTCTATTTACTGTGGATTATTTTGAACTACTACTAACACGGCTGCTGTATTGTCCGTCAATAAGTCGCTAATATCATGGTCAATGGAGGCACATGCTGGCAAAAATTTTTGGTGAGCTATAATCAAAAGCAAAACTAATATTGCTTTCATGAGTGTTAACAGTTAATACACGTGATTTCGTGCGATATGTTCTGAATAATTCAATTGTCAGCTGTATACCTATTGTATTATGTTACTCACTTCCACCTGCATCAGGTGGTTTTTTCGAGAATAAACTAGAAACTGGCTGACCATCCCTGAATTTAGATATCAACAAGTGGATATTTCTTTTTTGGTGCTCATCTAAGATAAC